CACATAAACCGTATTATATCAACAAAGACAAAAATATAAAACGAAACATTAAAATGAAGATGTATCTTGCTGCATTGCGCGAGTATCATTCTAGTTAGTTAAAATGAAGTTAACCCTAAAATAAAATTAAACTTAGAAATGAAAATATATCATTAAATTGAATTTAAACTTAGAAGTAAACACCATTTTTTTTGGGAACCAGTCACCACACGAATTAATTAACCAAAAAATAAAATCAATTGCATTTTAAGTTAATACGATTGATTGAATAAGAAGACACATGTAAATCAAATAAGTCTAATTGAACTGCTAATGTAAATTACGTCTAGATACATGTTTAGATGGGAAAACACTAAAATTAGCTTACTAGAAGATGACACGTGTCACATCGATTATTTACTTATTACAAATATAGATATACAATCAATATCTATATATAATATATATACATAAAGTCAGGTTTATATGAGAATTATAACTAAATAAGAATATAAGATAAATAATACCTCAAATAAATAATTTCAAAAATAAATAAATAGAAGCTTAAAAGTAATTTATTTATATAAAAGTTATTTAAGACTTTACTTTTACAATATCTGTGATTTTAAAATAAATTTATTTTTATTTAATAAATTTATTTTATATTTAAAGAATCTAAAGTAAGCGTATTTAATTTTCATTTAAAGATTATTTTTTATTTTAAAGCAATATTTTGAAAAAATTATAATTTCGTCAAAATTACATGTGATTCATAATTAATTAATTAATTTTTTCAATTTTTTTCTAATTACATGTGATTTAAAGCATGAAAAACGATATTCAAATAAAACAGTAACAAAAACAATGAAAACAAAATTAAATATGATATGCAGCATAATACATTTAATATAAGATCACATATATTTCAAAACGTAATTTATAATTTACTAATATCATATGTAATGTTGTATGTAACTTACATTTCTTTTCAACTTAAATTTATTATGATAAATATTACATGTGATT